GAAGAGATCAATAAAGTGAAACTTTGATCTTTATGTTAGAAAAAGTTCATACTCCAGAAAAACATAACAAGGCAGAACCGTTAGTCCCTATGAAATGTAGCAAATGAGCTAACATTTGAGATTCAGAGCCTTTCATGGAGAATAGATTTTGACCCCCAGATTCTACAGCCAACAATGAATATTTACTTCAACCTATGTCGCTATTGTCCTACAACATTTGGACTTTTATAGTTAATTGCTCACTCACCGAGTAATCTCATCAGTGCACTGTGCGGATTATAAAGGAAATTCATTATGGTAATCTCTTTAAGGAACGTTCTGCTATTGATTTGTTAAAGATAAACAATTTCAGAAGGCGTCGTCCTACGATAATCTCCCTCTTTCCCATTAATTACCTTCCTTCTATACAGAGGATCAAAAAATACAGTTGTGTCGCGACTGTATCTCACATTAAGTTGGTAAATACATAGAGTCAAAATCCTTGCTTTGCCTAAAAATTAATTCAGAAATAACTGTAACAGATTTTCCTCCATACTTCACCCAGACTACGCACAACTCAAAGTTAAAACATACCAATATTACGATCTCTCAACACATCGCCCTGATCTAGAGTAGACATCAACTAGAAAGTGAGAGCCTGTCCCATCAGCTTCTCACTCACTTGAAATGTATTCATTTGTCTGTTTCTGCGATTAAGTCGTACCTGTTCCCAGCTGCCGCCAACCGCCAGTGAAGCAGACTTGGAAGAAAGCTTTAACGAACTCCAGTTAGTTCCACTGAAACCCACCTAAGTATCTGCATGACTTTCCTCCAATGGCCATATTTTCTCTTCAAAAATGCTTGTCAGAAATGCAAAACTTGAATGAACCTTGCATTAACCACATGAGACAATCCATCTACGTTCTTTGGAGAGATGCTGCGCAACTGGTGTGACGCCCATCTTTTGAATGTTAAATCACTGCCAGGCACGTTGGCCGTTTACTCCACAGGACCCTGCGCAGGAGCATCGTTTTCAGAACTTTGAGCAGCTGTAGCAGTAAGCATGTAGCAGGAACCCAGAAAAGAGCCTTAGGTCTGGAGCCCACACCTCTGTAGGAAAGTGCACATGTGGGATTGGAATTTGCATTTTTTTTTTTTTTAAAGCTTACCGGCCGGGAGTGGCTCACGCCTATAACCTAGCCACTCTGGCAGGCGAGGCGGAAGGATCGTTTTGACTCACGGATTGTCGAGACCAGCTGAGCAAAGAGTGAGACCCGTCAGTCTACTAAAAAAAAAAAATCGAAAATAATTATCCGACAACTAAAAATGTAATACAGAGAAAAATTGCGGCATGGTGGCGCATGCCCTGTAGTCCCAGCTACTCGGAGGCTGAGGCAGAGGATGCTGTAGCCAGGGAGTTGGAGGTTTGCTGTGAGCGAGGCTGACGCCACGACACTCACTCTAGCCTGGCAACAGAGTAAGACTCTGTCTCAAAAAAAAAAAGCTTACTCTAATTCCTAACATCAAGCAATTACCTCTGAGACTCAAAGTCTGAAAATCTTGAATGTCAATTTGAATGAATTAAACTAACTCTGAACCCAACTCTCAACATCTGGTGGGGAAATCCATCTCATCGCATATAGGCTACTTCTGAAGACCAGAGTGATCTAAGAGCCTTCTGCTTCTTCAGGTCAATGGGAAAGAAGTTCAAACTATCAGGAACACTCCATGGTCCAACCAGGGGATTCCCTTGACGACAAGATGCCTCTCCCAGAAATCCTGACTGCCCAGGGACCAGCTCCCTGGACAACCCCAAAGAGCTTTCTCTGGGCTCACTGTCACCATGGGGCCTCCATGCGATGTTCACACTCAGCGGACTCGCTGCCTCTCTTCTATTCCTTGAAATATTCCCATCGCTTCCTTCAAAATACTCCTCTCCACCTCCATCCCTATGCACTTTGCCAGAAAAGCTATCTTTTTATTGGGAAAATGAGGATTAAAAAGAAGTGGGCGAATTAGCAAGTAAAGGTGAAGTCGACGCTTGGTAAATCTCAGCAGTGTGACTCGGCCGTGACTAAAGGAATCTTATTTGGAGAAGGGGAACAATTTAAGAGCCTTCCTCTCCCAGGCTTTGGTGATAGATTACCCTGGGACAAATTCTGCGCAAAAGACATCATTATTCTCAATCTGTATAAGATGCAAGAACTGTAGCCAGAGAGGCCAGCAACTTACCTAACAAACTCACACAGCCTATAAGATCAAACTGAGAACTTGACTCCGGTTAACTGGACCTTCCATCCTACAGCCTCAGTGAATTCTAACAGAGTGAGTGATTGCCCTAAACACCCTACTTCTTTGTGCCCAGGCTTTCCTTGGAATTCGAAACAACTATCCAAAATCACAGCCAAAGAAAACCTCGATGCAATTGATACTATTGAACCTAGATTGATCATTTAAGCTGGAGTAAAAGACTGCAATCAGATGGCCCAGTTACTTTCTCCTGAAAACGTCCAGCCGCCCTGCCATATATTACCACAGTCTAAAGTTTCCTTTCTCAGACAAAATTATAAATGAAGTAAAAAAGAATATGCTAAAAGTTTTCCTTTTGACCGATAAAATGCTGAAGTGTAGAACTATAGGTCAGCATTGAATATTTTAATCCACAAGGGACAACAAATCTTCCCAAAGAAGAATGCATGAGAGAGTAAGATAGGAATCCCACTTGACCTTAGGAGCTGATCTGATCACCTCAACGCTTTTTAGTGTCTGGGAGGACAGGCCAAGCTCGAATTAGATAACTGTGTCTTTATGTCATGCCTATCCCTTGTAATGACAGGTGCTTAGTACGCAGAAAGTACACTGCAATCCACTACACTACCGTTCTTGAACATTCAGTTTCCCCACTACAAAAGGATTAAATTAGCTGTGTCATCCTCCTAAGCATCTCCAAACTTCCAGTTACATAAACTGTCTTAAAGTCCACATGCAAAATACGGCTTCCTTCTTCACAGGCATCTGTGTTTCCCCAGTGAAAGTGCACTTCCAACACGTGCCAAGTACCCAAGTTGCTCCAGGCCGAAACTTGGAGTTCCACATGCCTTCTTTCTTTCCTCACCTCGCCAAATCTCTAAATTCCACCACACACGTTCAGTATCAATCGCCATTCCAAATTTATATTTCCAGCCTGATCTCGCTTCTGAACCTGCAGACTGTCTAAAAGCCTTCTTGCTAATCTCCACCTGTTATGCCAACAGCATTTCAAGGTTAATACACCGGCCAGCGCAGTGCTCATCCCATAATCCTACACTCTGGGCAGCGAAGGCAGGTAGATCTGCCTCAAGTCGGTGAGTCCGACCAGCCTGAGCAAGAATGAACCCCGATCTCTACTATAATAGAAAGAAATTAATTGGCCAACTGAAATATATACTAGAAAAATTAGCCGGCTGGTGGCGCATCCTGTAGTCCCAGCCTACTCGGAGCTGAGCGAGGATCGCTGAGCCCAGAGTTGGAGTTGCTGTGAGCTAGGCTGATTGCCAGGGCACTCACTCTAGCCTGGGCAACAAAGCAAGACTCTGTCTCAAAAAAAAAAAAAGTTAACATCATCAAAACAGAGCTTCTGATGTTATCCCAAACCCTATTATTCCAGTTGCCCTGTTCAAAAAATCCGGGGTTATCCTTTATTCCTCTCTCCCCTTCCCCACATTCATTACAAAAGACAATTCTGTTTGCCCTACCTTGAAAATATATCCAGAATTCTATTGACTCTTATCACCCCCACTGCTACCACTGTGATCCAAGCCACCAACACCTCTTGTTCCCCTTTGTGTTATTCCCAATGATTCTTTATTTTTTTTCCATTTCATTTTTTTTTTATATTTCTTTGGAGACCATAAAATGAGGAAGTTATGGCATTTGTGCACATTACTTTTATCCACTGTTTGTTTAGGCTAATTATATAATAGTAATCTGACAAGCAGAGGTTTTGGGAATATAATCCCTTCAGATAAATACTCTTTTTCTTTTCCTTTCTAGGGGGCCTCATGAGTTCACTGTCAAGGGTTCTATGTACTGCGAAACTGATAAAGCAGTATTAGGTATTCTTAAAGGACATATAAGCCTCTCCTGGAGGCTCCAAAACCCCTATCCAAATATACAAAACCCAAACTCACATTTCATGGAGAGCTCCAGCATATTTTGGTTCATAAAACCCCTTGATTCTTCACTGCATACCAATCCTACTTCTTTTCCTGTAGTAACAAAGAAAGAGTCCTGACCTCGGCAGTCTGGTCCCCAACCTTTCTTTCCTTGTTACCCTAATTCTTCTTTCTCTATTAATGCCAATCTCTTCCTGCCTGGAGAAGCTGTCTTTTTCGCTTTCAAGTATTTTTAGATCTTTCCCATTGTAAGAAAGATGAAAAGGAACCATCCTGTCTTCCATGTTTTACTGTTGAATTAATCCATGGTGATTATCTCTATTTTCTGGCCACCAGTCTCCTTGCAGGACAGAAGTCTCTTGCCCCTGCAATGCCAAGCTGGTGCAGAGCGCTGTGACAGAGCTAAGCATGATGGACAGCGGGAGCTCATAGGGAGGGCAGGTCACCAAGCCCTGAGGACGGGGGTGGCAGGTGAGTTCTCAGTGGGGCTCTAAAGGATGAGCAGGGGCAAGTCAGATGATGATGGAGTCCCAGCCACTCAGGAGGCTGAGGCAGGAGGATCGCTTGAGCCCAGGAGTCTGAGGTTGCTGTGAGCCAGGCTGACGCCACGGCACTCACTCTAGCCTGGGCAACAGAGTGAGACTCTGTCTCAAGAAAAAAAAAAAGAAGGAAAGAAAAGAAATGATGGCTTAGTGTTGACCTTTTTTTTCACCGCAAATACCTCTCACCCTCCATAAATTAAAATATTGTAACAGAGGTAAGGATCTGAAAAAGGGCCACGAAATGTTTTATAAGTTGTCTCTTTAAAAAAAAAACAACAACCCACTCTTTTGGGGAATTAAAACCTGCAGGCCAGTAATCAAAGGGGCAGAAAAAAATGTTCTTTGTTGTTTGTTTTATTCAACTGCAGGAGATGGCTCAACAGAATTGTGCAAGGGTCACAAGATCATGTCACAGGAGATAAGGTTGATAGAAACCAATTACAGTTAAATAACAATAGCCCCAAACTAAGACCTTTGTCACCACCGGTCACATAGAGCCCAACTGCTGAAACACCACCCTGCTTTTCTGCTTATAGGCAGGATGGAAGTCTTTTGAGACTCTATTCTACCACCCTCCTCATGTTTTGGCAAATTAATAAACTTCTCTTTCCTTTTCCTCAAACCACTTGTCCTCATCCTTCATTCTCACTGACTCAGCCTTGGGGACAAGTACCCAACTTTCAGTAACAATTCCTATCGTATCAAGTCTTCTGAGCTTTATGGTGTGCAAATGACACAAGAATAGTTCTATTCTGAAAGTAAAATCCACTTGAAAGATACTTCTGCTGGTGTTCTCTCACACCTTCCCTTTTCCCTTCACTTTTCTTTGCTACATACGTGCTATTATTAATATTAATATCATTATCATCTATGCTCCAAATTATAAATCTTCTAGTTACCATGTTCTACCTTTTTCCAGGTTATTATCTATACAAAGATAATTATTTGGCCAGGCAAGGTGGCTCACTCCTGTAATCCTAGCACTCTGGGAGGCCGAGGCGGGAGGATGGCTCAAGGTCAGGAGTTCGAGACCAGCCTGAGCAAGAGCAAGACCCCGCCTCTACTGTAAGTAGAAAGAAATTAATTGGCCAACTAAAAATATATACAAAAATTAGCCGGGCATGGTGGCGCATGCCTGTAGTCCCAGCTACTCGGGAGGCTGAGGCAGGAGGATCGCTTGAGCCCAGGAGTTTGAGGTTGCTGTGAGCGAGGCTGACGCCACGGCACTCACTCTAGCCTGGGCAACAAAGCAAGACTCTGTGTCAAAAAAAAATTAAAAAAAAAAAGAAGGGAATTAATGAAAGATAAAAGAAAAACAAAGGTAAGAAAATATTTCAGTTTAATAAGAGTCTAAATGCTATGAATTGTTTTAGCTTAGTTGAGAAAATTTTGCTGAAAGAATCTCATCCTAAAATGTGAGATGAAGTGAAGACAAATTAATGATTAATTCAGAGTGTTTCATTCACATCAGTAGGAAATGACAGATCTAAAATGTGATCAGAGTAAACTAAATGTTTTTGTCATGAAAATATGTTGAAATGAAGCCAATGAAGTCGGAAAGACACACAAACAAAAAAATCTCTAAAGCTCAGAGTGAAAAAATCAAGGGGCAGATTGTACGTTTCTAGCATCCTTGAGGCAAATAGAATCCTGTATTTGAAGAACATGAACATGTCTGTAATCCAAGCACTCTGGGAGGATCGCTCAAGCTCAGCCTGAGGAAGAGCAAGACCCTGTCTCTACTAGAAATAGAAACAAATTAATTGGCCAACTACAAATATATAGAAAAATTAGCCGGGCTATGGTGGCGCATGCCTGTAGTCCCAGCTACTCGGGAGGCTGAGGCAGGAGGATCGCTTGAGCCCAGGAGTCTGAGGTTGCTGTGAGCGAGGCTGACGCCATTCTAGCCTGGGCAATAGAGTTAGACTCTGTCTCAATAAATAAATAAATAAATGAAAGATCTAAGCTTGGTCAACCTACATTTTATTCAAATTTCTCTGAGATAATATCTCTACTTTCTCCTTTTCTTTACTTAAAAAAAAAAAAAAAGAAACAGTATATAGAAGATACCAACACATCATTAGCTAATGTGATATCTCCAGAATTATTTCTGGGGGTGGAACTTGGTGAGATATATAGCACACAACAGCTTTTCAGATAAACAAGTTCAGAGGGCACATTCCCTGGGGCTCTTTTACCCTGAGCTGAGCTACTGCTAGCAGCTGGCATCGCTTCAAGAACTCAAGGTGTCTCAACCCATTAGGGCACGTGGACAAAACTCTGCGTCCACAGCCAGCCTCTTCTTTGACACTCCCACTAGCACCTGAGCGCAGCTCGTGCCTGGAGCTCTGTGCAGACGGCCTCTCTTTCCTAGGACAACGCGAGGGCTGAGCCAGAAGGAAGAGGACAGAGCACAGCCATGAACATTGTCTTGGATATCCTCCTGCTCCTGCTCACCATCGTCTACTCCTACTTGGAGTCGTTGGTGAAGCTTTTCATTCCCCAGAGGAGGAAGTCGGTGGCCGGGGAGATCGTCCTCATCACCGGGGCCGGGCACGGCATAGGCAGGCTGACTGCCCACGAATTTGCAAAACGCCAGAGCAGACTGGTTCTGTGGGATATTAATAAGGTAATGTATACATCTGCCAGCCGTTTGAAGTCACAATGTAAGAAATGCCTTTTTTTAAAATTTATTTGATTTAGCATCTGCTTATCTTTGTATTTTCCTTTTTATTTTATTTATTTTATTTTTTTTTGAGACAGAGTCTCACTGTGTTGCCCGGGCTAGAGTGAGTGCCATGGCGTCAGCCTAGCTCACAGCAACCTCCAACTCCTGGGCTCAAGCGATCCTCCTGCTCAGCCTCCGAGTAGCTGGGACTACAGCATGCGCCACCATGCCGGCTATTTTTTACTATATAT